AAGAAGGTTTTGGTCAGTCTATTTTACACTACGGTCAATTAGTATTTCATGCTTCTCCATATAGTCTTCAGGATGTATTTAGCTGTATGGTAACAGCTAAATTTATACATGTACTTCAAAAAGATGTATTTCGAGCTCTTTGTAAATTATCTATGAAACCTCTACCAGATGGAACATCTGATCCCAAGTAAGAATGCTTTTAGTCATTTAACTAAATAATGAAATTAACAAATTTATCTTTCATTTATCATTTTTATTTTTCAGATCACATGAATTAAGATCTAAAATATTATCGTTACAATTACTATTAGGCATTTTACAAAATGCTGGACCAATCTTACGATCAATTAAAATGTTTGTTATTACAATTAAACAATACTTGTGTGTTGCATTATCTAAAAATGGTGTATCATCTCTGAGAATGATCAGAGATTCAACTGGACAATAATACGAACAGTCGTAGCAGAAGAACTACTTTAGTAGAAATCTTTATAGTACACTGCAATTTTCTTTTCCTTGTTCAATAAAAAAAAATTATATAGTGTGGATAGTGGAATTAAAGTTACTCTTATCCCAGTTGTTCTATTCAAACTGCATGAATATAAGATCTAAATTTGTTTAACAGCCTGATTAATTTTGTTTTGATATCAATAATTATATTATAGACCTATACAATTCAATGTTTATTAAAATTCTGCTATTATACAATTTTTATATAAATTTTATTCGGTGTATGCATAAATGTTAACAAACGAACTTAATTCCAAGTCTGCGTATCCAAGCATGTAGTGTAAAATTAATAAATATGAATCTCTCATCGGAAGTATGCTGGCTTTGTAGTTAAACTAAATCTAGTTGATTCTATTGAAACTATTTTCGATTTTTTTTTGTAGAAACGAACTGCTATCAGATGATTCTGTTTTTTTTTTTGTATGAAAATGATACTCTGTAGTATTGAGTCTAATTCCGACTGAACTTCTCTATCATTTACTTTAGGAGGCATTGGGAAAATTTTTTAAGAATCCTTTTTTTTCACTAATGGTTTTACGAATATTTTAATTTTACATATTAATTAATTTTGGTCTGTATTCTTTGGTTTGATATTGATGTAAAATTTGAGTATACTTTAATTATTATGAATTTCAACCGAACGTGGTTCAATTATGCATTTGAATATAGCGGGAATTTCCCCCTCGGTAACTTAGCGACCTCAGCGCACTCTGCCCTCCAACGTTATTGTTTCACATTTCTGGTACAACTTTTATATAGAGAGTTTGGACTCTATGTCTACAGTCTTCATGGAATAAACAGTATTTTATGTATGTTTACTTTAAACTTACATGTATTTTACAGTGATAGAACAATAATTGCGCGAAATAATTTCTCTTAATGAATTTTACGAGTTGAAACAATTATTTATATTACTTTGTGTAACCCTAGAATATAAACTTATATTTTATTGGGTTATATAGTGTAAAACAAATATTGTTTCTATTCGTATAGTGTTTAGGTTAAGTAATAAAGAGGTTTTGTTTTGACGAAAAAATTTAATAAAAACACATTATCTTCGTTTGTATAATTGTTGGTCATGTGTATTAATTATTAAATTTTCGTCTAGACAGAATATTATCTTTATTACATTTTGTTTTTAGTAATTTATTTCAGTGAAGAGTTATATACTCATTGGTGTGAACAAACTTTTGTTAATAATTATAATTTACAAAGAATCATAGTCTGCTGTGCGATTGAATTCATTACTATTGATATATTTATTCTATTCTACTGTAAAATTTTATATTAAGTTATTATTGTTATCAATTCAAATATAATTAAGTTAATAAAAATTTGTATATTTGTAAGAAATAAAACTTTGAAATCAAAACTTTAATTGCTTTACCTTTTAATAACTATAATATATTTCTATAATTAAGACACGCAACAAAGATGTTAGATAAAAGATTGCAGAATATTATATTAAATAATAATTGGTTAGAAGATGATCATATTGATTATTTTGCTCAGTTATTACATCAACATTTTGGGTATGAATTTCGTGAATCATGGGCCCTACAGATATGTAATGGAATTGAACCAATACCTCAGCACAAAAATCATATTCAATTATTGCATAAAATGGATGTTTCTTTGCATGATACTGCTGCAATATCGATGCTTGGTGGTCATTGGGTTTGTAGCTATTATGATACAAAATCAATCTACATTTATGATTCATATAATTCGAAAGAAGTTCATCCTGATTTCCAAGCTTATTTAGCACGTTTATATCCTTTCTATTCATTTGATCAGATCCCGATTCAATTTCCGGATGTTCAACAACAGATGAATTCGTATGATTGTGGCGTGTTCGCTATCGCATTCGCAACTTCTCTAGCTCATGGAAAATTACCGCAGCATTTGAATTATGATGTAAAGTCTATGCGAAACCATCTGTTGAATATTTTAAATTCACGTACAATCCTTGAATTTCCAAGTTACAAAATTGAAAGTAATAGCAGTAATGTACTTTTAGTTGCTAATGTGAAATCAGAATATGTAAAAATTACTAATGAGATAAAACATACCAGTGCTACCGACAATTCATTTGAAAATAATAATAATGATTTCAAAACTGCATTAAAGATATCGTCCGCACATAATACTAAAAAAGAACTATCAGATCAAAATAAACAGATAAAATCATATAAAAAATCGTGTAAAAGAAACAATTCAGAAATATCTAAAGTTCCCTTGTTAGATGATGTTTCAAAGAAAATAATTACTGAAAATCAAAAACTAACAGATTTGCATATGCTTCATTTTGGTATGCTGATGAGATCTAATACTACTTTTCATCATCAAGACACGGTGTTGATCCAGTGCCCTGAAAAAATTGTACCAATAAAGTCATGGGAAAAACATATACAAATAATACACAGTCGTCAGAGTGATCATTGGATATGTTCTTACTATGATGCCCGTCATATTTACGTATATGATTCGTTAAACAATAAAACACTAGATAAAGATGAAGAACTTTATTTACGATCCTTATATCCACAATATTTTGAAGATAGAAAACATATTCATTTCTTAAAAGTGCAATATCAACCTAATGTGATTGACTGCGGAGTATTCGCAATTGCTTTTGCAACTTCAATTGTATTCCATCAGAAACCAGAAAATTTAATTTACTATCATCATTCAATGCGACAACATTTATTAGAGATGTTTGAATCACGAGTTATCACGCATTTCCCAGCAACAGATAAAAAACATAATGAATTACAAATATTATCTTTAGACAAGCTCAATAAAAATGAGGAAATGGCGCTCCAAAAGCGATTCAAACGTTTACAATTGAATAATTATGAAGTCACTAATCAGAACAATTCTCATGTAACATCTGAGCCGAAATATTCCGATAGAAAATTTATGATATCTAAGAATACATATGAACCTACACTCGATAATAATACATCAGGAATGTCAATTGAAGAAAATGATATGAAAAACATTGAAAACTCACAAGTTTTTCCAGATAAACGTCCTGATAAAAAGAGAAAATTTTCCGATGAATTAGACAATGATGATAACAGGAAACTTTACCAACAGGTGAAGCGTTCTAAACAAGAAAAGAGTGTGTGTATGAAAAAGACAAACGATAATGAGAAATCAAATTCCAATATTTATTTGTCCAATTTTAAAAATACTGATATAAGTGACCGACATCTGATAAATAAAACATTACCGGTTGTAGTGAAATCAAATAAAACAATCACTATGGATAGAAATAAGAAATCTCTATTCCAATCGAGAAAAATTCCTGCGACACTTGATAAAGAAATTTATATAACAAAATTGCAGGATGTTCTTGATCATGACAGTTCATCAATTAACGATCCAATCGGAAATCGGTTATTATCCGAACGGATAATTAATTGGTGTTTCTCGCAACGAAGTGTCTATGCTAGTCAACTTCGAAGATTCATAAGAAATCTTAAAGAAAAGTCAGATTATTTCCACACGAAATATCGTACTTCTAAAACGATAGATACAAAATTGAGCAATTTATGTGGTAGGTCACTTCACAACTCTACGACAGAGGCATACTTTTATGATACAGCAGATTCTTTTATGAACAATAAACAAATCATTATTGATAATCGGGGCCGAACTACAAGTATTTTACCAATTAAAGAACACAATAATGATACAATTAAATGGAAATGTGATCACAATTGTAAAATGTATTACATCAAGCATGATGATCAAATATTCCAAAGTGATGAAACAAACTCTGTAGACGAATACATAAATACACGGAATCGATTCATTGTTGATACAATGAAAACATATGTAGCTTTTCTTGAAAGGATGAAAACTCTGACTTTTAACAATGTTTATGAAATTCTCGACCAACTTTTTGTACAACACAATTCTGGAAAACATGGTCATTTTGAACATTGTTACTCATGTTATGAACTTTGTAATTGTTTGTTTGTAAGTGTAGTAATATTATCACCTCATTATCCAGCAGTGAGAACTATCAAATCATTAATCTATAAGATGAGAATAATCGTACATCGTTTAATTGAGTTAGATCAAGCTCTTAATGATGGTAATTATCATTTTTTGAATAAAACTTATGAAAATATGTTAGAGAATGGCCATATTTATGTGCAAAAGACAAACTTCATATGCTTAAACGAGACTCAAATTATGAATGATTACAAAAAAGCTTTTATTGCTCTTACAACAAGATCAACAGATACACCTCGTTTTGTATGTGTTTGTTGTCAAAAATTATGTTACCGACGTGATACCAAAGATATAAATAGACTTAATCAACAAATGTTAGAAAATGTATTGTTTAAGAGTCTTTTAAAGTATTTAAAAGACACAAATTCAAAAATAGATATCGATTACATATGTAAATACTGTTTTGATAAACTACGTAAAAATCAATGTCCACCAACTTGTATAATGAATCATTCAGATATAGGACATATTCCGAACGAAATGACTGGTTTAAATGACTACGAAAAACTTTTAATACAACGTGCTAAAGCATTTCAAGTTGTACAAAGAATGGGAACAGTATCTAAAAAAGCATTACCGAATCGAATGAAAGTACAAAAATGAAAAGGTGTCACATTTCATTTACCTTTACCACTAGAGGAAACGTTAAACAAAATTTGTTCCCCAACAGCGCCAATCAATGAAAATCATGAATTATATATTTTAATAAATGGACTTCCGTCAAATGACAAAAAAGTATGGCAAAGTTTGGTAGATACAAAAAAAGTTTTTACGGCTTGAAATTGGCTTAAAATTAACGATCCTTTATATACAGAAATCAATTTACCGAAACTTCCTGAAAATTTGTTCAAATATTTATCTTCTTCTGTAGAATACCAAATAAACTCAAAGCTTATTGAAAAAAATGATTCTGATTTGCACAGTAATACAAATGATGTCAGTCAAGAATCATTATCT